GTGGGGCGATCTACTTGTGCGTGAAGCTAAAGTGGCTGTAGTCCGGCAAAATAATGAATTGCTGGGATATTTGGCACAAGGTTTATAAGAATGGCAAGGCAATCCGGGAGAACATGAAGAGCAAGCTCCGCGTGCGTAGATCAAAGACGACGGGATCTTTAGGGAAGTCACCAGCCAAGCGCCGGCGCGTGGACTCCAGGGCCTCTGAAGACTCTGAAGATTCTGCGGACTCTGAGTAAGTGGAGCAGTAATTCGTATAATGATTTTTTTTGTCTTCTGTGCGATCTATGGTCATTCGTTTCATGAGCAAGCAAGTTGACTGTCCGCACTTGCTCACGCTTCATTGATGACAGGGAGTAGACTAGACACTTGACAACCATTAAACAGGCATTCCAAATTTGGCAGCTTCGATTGGTTCAAAATTGCGATCGTCATCATTGATTGCTGCATGGATGATATCAGGATACTTGATTAAAGTATGCATAAATCATTCCCGGTTCTGTTGCAAGCTTTCTCGAATTTTAGAGATAATTTTCTCTACAGATCCGCTGCTCTCGCCCGACTCGACAAGGGGCTTTGCAACATAAACCTTCATGTGGGCAAAGCACGTTCTCTAGCGCATCTGTACAGCGTACATAGCTAATATGTAGCTGTAGATGTACCGGATAGAGGCACCTATGTACGGGTGCATATACAGCAAAGGAAACAACCAACCCCTTCTGGTACGGACTCTCACACGTCCCATCCTACTCCGTTCCCCTAGGGTATACTGAACCTCATATAAACGTTCCATACATATACAGCGTAGGTTTGAAAAAGGCAACAAAAATCCTCCGGGTTGAAGGGGTTACCCACTGTTTGCTTTATTTAACAAAGTCGTGCTTCGCCCTCTGAAATCTAAGACACGCGGTGCACATAAAAATTAAAACTTGGAAGCTTGAAAGCTAATGCAGAGCTTGTAGCTATCCTAGAACTTTCTAAACTACATCGAAGTGGTAAAGTCCGAAGCTAGAAGCTTCGTGAGTAGTGAAAATGAAAGTATATCCAGGGAGGTCAGCAAGACGAGCTCTATGGACAGCCCACTCAGATCAAGTCGCTCGCAAAAAGTTGCCTATTGACACGCACAGCAGCATACGCCGTGTGGATGAGGCAACGCGAAACTTCAATGTGGGTGGTTTCTAACCGTGGTGAGCCTTGGCATCGAAACGCCGTGAATTTAGCTTGCTGGCGTATTTATAACTAATTTAGCTACGGAAAAAAGATCTACTTATATACACTGCTCCGCATAATGTTTTTGGCCATCCAAATTGTTTGAACTACTGCAAGGCTACGATCGCAGTGGGTCTAAAACAGACTTTTTACGATGACGGCTACCGCAAATTTTATGTTCTGTGAACCATCAGCAAACGCCCCCCCCGGTAAACGACACTCTGAATAAGATGAACACAGAAAATAGGCGTGTGGTGAATCCACACAATTGTTAAAATGGTGCGTACATTGATCAACGCAAAGTCGTCGTTTCGCAAAAATCACCAATATGCTCAAGAACAGTCTGGTAGTCTCATATTTTAACTTACATATTTAAGTAAATTTAAGAAAGGACTGTGGCCCAGGCAAGATTGTGTCTGCACAAGACGTGTCAAGCATGGCTCGCACTTTTTGACGTGAGATCGATTCAAAATATGTCGAGAAGCGAGTCCATCTTTTCCGAGCGAGTTTACAGCTAGCAACACAGGAAACGCTGCCGAAATATTTGGCGAGGAGGCAGGCATCTCCCATTACATCTAAGCTGACCATCGATATGAAGTCCTATCTAGATTCCAAGCTGAATGATTTTCATGTATGGTTGCTCAGTCGCTTTACGCATTCTTGCACCGAGAAATGAAGGATGAGCGCATCAACGGACCTACCCCGCAGCCTGCGCAGATCCAGAACTATCAGAAAGGGATGGCGGCGTAAAACCCGACGCGATTGCATCGGCCCGTGCTATCTCACATGTCGTACATGCCGCCAGCGCATGTACAGTGCGACATAGAAAATTACGTTCCTAGGAAGCAGACCCAGTATCACAGCTAGTATTCTGTGACACAAAAGCTGTGACTGGCGCTGTTGATCCTGCTCTCGGCACGGGGTCTCAAGGTGACCCATTTAGCACCGGTTTGACAGACAAGCGTGGTTTAGAGCGCTATGTTGAAGTGCAGCAGGACCCTTCCCAAACTACGCTATCGCACGTGAACACAGTGCACAACTATGTGAAGCACAAGTACTCCGTTTCTGTATTGGGCTTTTCAGATCGCAAAGCTCGGCTCGGCATCGTTTGGATTTTCCGACACACCTTTAAAAGGAGCATGGAGCAGACATCGAACTTTGATGTTCATACTTAGACAGACCACAGTGATGTGACGCAGACACAAAGCGACGGCAACGAATCGAAGAGCAAATCCAGCAGCTCAAACGAGTATTCGTGGCGTAAGGAGCGCTTGGCCGTTACAGCAGCGATTTGAAGTTCCAGGAGTCGTTCTGCAACGACTTTGAATTCCGTGTGTGATCGATGAATTGCCCAGGGCACAGCAAGCAAGGATGGTCGGACTTCTTACCGGACTATGTGTCTCCGAGAGATACAACAAAGCAAAGACAGGAAATAAGTACCAGACATTCGACAGGAAATAAGTACCAGACATTCAACAGGAAAATGGCAGCGGTGGCATTCGCACACAAGGCAGTTCGGAGCGCCAAGTTTGATTACCATGATCCGTAAAGTTGAGCTTATTGCTCAAGTATACAAGCTAACGAGCAGCCAGGTGTACCAGAAGCAGCTAGCTACTACAGTTATGCTGCTCAAGATACGGGAGATCCTATAGTAGGCCTTCGGATTCGCGTGAGCGGCTTCTTTGGGGGTCAATCATCTTGGGCTTTTTCTTCCTAGATAGATGCTCAGAGCTTTGGGGCCCAGTGACCGCCGACCGCTCAACCGGGAAGGACAGGATTCGTTGCGTCTAGGCACACAACGTCATCGTAAGAAGCAAGCCAGGTAAACAGGTCAGACAAGAAGCTGCGAACGCCCATTCCGTGGAAATACAATTCGAGTCTCATAAAGCCGACTGGGTCACCCAGGGTGTTTTCGTTAGGCACTATCGCCCGAACGATCAACTATTGTGCCAGGTGTTGGTAGCACAGAATTGCATACGAGTGAGGGCATATTAGCGCTCAGAGCATGTGACCCTGGGTCCATATCTTATCTTTATATCAGAAAGAGAAACAATCAAGGGGACTCAGGTGTCCAACATCATTAAGAACGCGGCCAAGAGCATGAGACTGGACTCAAAAGACTACTCTTGTCACTTGCTCCTAATCGGAGGAACATACGCGCTACTAGCTGCCGGGAAAAGCGACGTGGTCATCCGGCCAATGGGAAGGTGGTCGAGCTGGTGTTTCTCAGTATACACCCGGTTACGACCAGGAATGATTCGCGACGCGGCAAGCAGCATGATCAAGGCCACAGTATGGGAGCACCGTGAACCAAGTTCAATCACGCTCGACGGGGAAGGCCATCGAGCCTTACTCTAAAGAGCTAATCAAGTCTACTTGTCCCATTCATCGTATTCGCCTAAGGAGGAATGTGCGCGGTTACGGGCAAGTCTGGGCAGAATCTGTACTTTCTAGGTGTGCGTTTGCGTCGGTACATGTATGAGCAAATATGTGGTGGTTTACGCATACAGTGCTGCTATTAATTATAGGGATACTACATTTTTTCAAGCTGCACTCACAATACGAGATGTTCGATTGTGCCGCTCGGTCCAAGAAACACTTGCTTAATGCCTAACAACTAGCGTTAACCATCTTTTAAAAAAAATGTACGTATTGCAAATTCTAAAATGAAATTTGCCATTTTAGGGGGTGTTCTTCTTTATATGGACACTCGGTATACTGAAGCGACTATTCGTTTTGATTGGCTGAAATTATGCATAAAGCAACAAACTGTACATTTCTCCGTCCCGGTCACACGTGCGATCCGCAGGCACCTCCACGACGCTAAGGGGCAAGAAACGGTCTGACGGTGAGATTGGACGGGTAAAAGCGCACTTTAAGGATGAAAAAAACAAGCGCTGGATAGCACGAGAGAATGGCCGAAGTCCGAACGCTGTCTGCAACTATATCAAAATTGGCATTCGAACGCCATGTTTTTCACGAAGGTTTTTGAGGAAAGGAACCAAGTACGTATCTCGGTCTTTATATAGTGATGTATTCCCGCCGACATCATGACACTGCCTCCACCGCTTTCCCGCTTCGAGAAGACTTCTTGGTCGTTCCGGACGTCGAGCCAGTAGTACTGGTAGCCGTCCGGGCCATCCAAGTTGAACTTGTTTTTATCACTAAAGATTAATCGACGCCAGTTGTGCGTCTTACTCAGGAATTTGGCGGCAAAGGCAGCCCGAGCCACCTTGTGACGAGGCTTGATGGCTGGAGTCGTTTGTGGAGTTTTGCACGATTAGGAGCTTTCAATAAGTTACAGACAGCGTTCGGACTTCGGTCAATCTCTCGTGCTATCCAGCGCTTGCCTTTTTCATCCTTAAAGTGCGCTTTTACCCGTCCAATCTCACCGTCAGACCGTTTCTTGCCTCTTGGCATCGTGGAGGTGCCTGGGGATCGCACGTGTGACCGGGACGGAGGAATGTACAGTTTGTTGCTTTATGCATAATTTCAGCCAATCAAAACGAATTGTCGCTTCAGTATACCGAGTGTCCATATAAATAAGAACACCCCCTAAAATGGCAATTTCACTTTAGAATTTGACATTCGTACATTTTTTTTAAAAGATGGTTAACGCTAGTTTGTGCAGCTTGAAAAAATGTAGTGTCCCTATAATTAATAGCAGTACTGTACTATGGGTACAGTAGTAATTTTTAGCAAATGCCGCCCGGATTTTAGAAAGTCAATGTGACACGCCTTCATTTCCGCTTAAGTACGCCAGGAATTCATTCCAGAATCCGCAAAAAAAAATGGTGAAGCTGTTTTGTAGCGTTGTTGGCGTGGCGGGAAGCGCGTTCCCTGTGAACATCGACGAGCGCGAGTCGGTGGGAGACTTGAAGGATGTGATCAAGGCGAAGCAGCCTGAAACGATCACGGTAAAACAAGCCGACAAACTGAAGCTCTTCCTGGCGAAGAAGACGGACGGCACGTGGCTGGATGGGGCGGGCGTGGCAGCTATGACGCTCGACGGGGATGGACATCCGCAAGGCTTTCAGCAGATGAATTCTACATTGTGGATCAACAATGAGAAGCACTTTGGGAAGAGCTTTAGACCGGCTGAGGGCGACGTTCACGTGCTGGTGGTCGCTCCCAAGATCGACTCAAAACGCCCAGCAGATGATGAGCTTATCGCGGCCGTGAAAAGAACGAAGACCGACGAATTTGCAAAGCTATCCGTGAAAACAGACGAATATCAGCTCGACAGCCTGACTGCGACGCAAGAAAGTGCCACTCCGGTTGTTCGCACACCTGACTTGTACAAGTTCTGGCAAGGATTTGGTGGATTTCCGCCGTATTATTTCGTTCGGAAGGAAGAAGTGGTGTTTTGGGAGGTGATTAAAAAGTTCAAGTCGACTATGACAGAAAGAAGGATTGTGATTGTAGGCTCACCGGGAGTCGGAAAGTCCTGCTTCCTCCTGCTTATTGCGTTCTACTTGGCGTGTGTGGAGAAACGAGAGGTGCTTGTAATTCGATGCCTGAAAGAAAGCGAACGTGCGAACGCGGTGGTGTATTTGAATGGAGACGGAAAATACGCACGACTAACGGATGCCCTACCGAAACATATATACGCGATGCGCCGTCAATTTCCGAAGGCGATCGTTCTTGTTGATGGCTACCGGCAACGAGAATTGACGGTACCCAGCCAATTGGTACCGTTTCACTTTCTCGCGACGTCGTGTCAGTTCGATGTGAGGCAAGATGACCAGTCACGCCTTGTGGTTTTGCCGGCGTGGCGCAAAGCAGACCTGCTGACATACGCGCAGCAAACCAACTGGGTGATCGATACTGGCTTACGCAAGATCTTGCATTCGGTGAAGGACAAAACTGTGCCAATACTAGTTGAAGAGCAGTACTACTACAGTGGTGGGAGTCTACGTGAGTTTTGTAGGACGCGTGATGAACTTCAATCCCGAGTCGTGGATGATTGTGCAGCAGTGAAAAGTGACCAAGCAAACGAGCTGATGTGCACTTATGGCGGTGGTAAATCTCAAAACCAAGTGGACCGACTTCGGCGTCACTACATCGACGACTGCACCAAGGAGGAGCACTATCGGCGGCGTATTCACTGGACGCTTTCTGTCGACTCAGGGTATGCGCTGAAACTGTTGGGGAAGAACGTGAGTATGGAAAAGCAGCTAGAGATCTACACGTATGCAAAATCTATTGGTGCCGGCTTCCACGGCGTCGTATTCGAAGTGTTGCTTCACAGTGCAGTTCAATATCGCAAGCCCGTTGTTTTGAAGATGCGGGAGGGGGCGAAAGTGAGAAAGCGTGCCTCGCCTGCTTGACCACACTGGAGCAGGACACGTACTGGTGCCCGGACTACCCGTTTTTTTCCTTTCATTGACGCAGTGACCACGTGTAAAGCATTCACAAGAGGAAATGAAAGCTCCGAGACAGTCGTGGCTTACATTCAGGTGACGATTTCAAGCGAGAAAAAAATCATGGAAAAGAAGTTAACTGACCTGAACATAACGCTGGATCAAAACAAATCGCTAAAAGGATATAAAGCGCGTGTTTGTGGTAGCTGGCCCTGACTCCAGTGTGTGCGGGAGATTTGAACTCCATGATGCGCCAGACACATTTATTACGATGGTGGGCCGAAACTGCTGGAGCCTAAGCAAGATGAGATGGATGTAGAACAGTTAACTTGACAGATAATCATTGGTCAAATGCCTGAGTCGGTTGGGTCTCAGAATTTTAAAACAAGATCAAGAATTTTCATTTCCTTCTCGTAATTCCGTTCCGGTCATTCCGAAATCTTTGGAGCTATTATAATTCATCAGCCGTAGTGCCACAATGTAGTATCGTCGTCATGGCTAACTCTCCTCATTGAAGCATGTCAAAACCACTCGTTAAATTGATAGTCCCAGGTCATAATGTTATAACTGCAGCCAGTCATTTGTTTCAAGTAGTTGTTGATCGACCACTGCTAAGTCCGTACAATGTTGTGTCGGCAAACTCGCCCACTTCCACATCTTTCGAGTGCAAGTACACTACAACGCCAAACCGATCGTGAATGATTCCCTGCCTCATCGCAGAACGGGCATCGACCTCGCTGCGATTATCAAAAATCAACTTTACCATCTCAAATGTTGCCAGTAGCAGCAACCTTCGACAACGTATCTTCCAAACAGCCTTCTGTGTGATTAAAATGAAGCCACTTTACCACGCTTAAGTGGTCTCTCATAGCAGCAGATGCCATCGTAGTTGCAGCCTTCGCTTCGGTTATAATGGAGCCACTTCACTACGTCCAAATGACCATAACTTGCAGCCCAGTCCATCGCAGCAGGCGTACAGCCTTCTGTTGTGTTGGCATGAAGCCATTTTAACACTTCGAGACAGCCGCCATAGGAAATAGCTAACTTTGTGCAGCCCTCATCCCGATGAGTGTGCAGCCACTTTAGTATTTCTAAATGACCTCCACGTGCAGCTCCACCCATGGCATTGGATGAACACCCTTCAGAACGAAACTCATGTAGCCATTCCACTACTTTTAGAAATCCATTTGCTACTGCCTTATCCATCGCTTGTGCTGTGCATCCTTCAGTACGATGGACATGGAGCCACTTGACGACTTCAAGATGGCCATTACCAGCATCGCCTTATGGCTACAACCTTCGTCGCGGTTGTCATGAAGCCACTTCACCATATCAAGATGGCCACCCTTCGCTGCACTATCCATTATCCAACAATCGCCTCATTCGCACTTCTTATCGTGAAGCCACTGCACGATATTTAGATGTCCACTTTCCACCGCTCTTCGCAGAGCTTCAACAGTCAAAGCAACTTGCGTCTCATAATGTAGCCATTTTACCGTATCCAGGTGTCCATTTGAAGCTGCAGCTAAAAAGCGTCGACCTACGTGGCTTTCCTAGCCCCTGAGAGTACGCATACTTCAAGAGCGACAATGCTCCACTCGCAGCAGCTCTATCCCATTCGACTCGACGTACTGCGAGGTCACAGTTCACAAGAATCCATCGCGCAGTCTCCCAATGTTCCTCTTTTTGGGCATCAAGTAAAGCATATTCAGCAGGAGCATGGCACTCATTGTATAGCCACCGAACTGCTGTTGTATTCCCCGTCTTTGCAGCAGATGGCATGAATGCGTCATAAGCCACTGCACAGTCTCATCATGGCTATAATCCAATGCTCCGCACATCTCGACACAGTTCCAGTAGGTCTGTTCGCGATGGTCTTCGAGCAGCAGCGTAAACTGCGGCACCCAATCGCTCACCCGGCAGATAAACTTCTATTAACCACCGAAGTGCCCGTTGATCTCCTTTTATTGCAAAAAACCATGAAGTTGCATTGAGCATCCAGCGTCGGTAGAAAGGGTCTACAGTAGCAGCTGGTACGAGCACCGATATACTGCAGCAAACGCAGACTTCGATTGGGTAAAAGAAGCGAGTTACGACGCGTGCGGCGGTGAAAAAAGGGAAGTCAGAGGCGCTATTATAATAGCTGAGCTCATCGACGTTGCAACGGATCCATGCAGTATTACACTTTTTGACATGCAATTTAGAAACGCGTTTCTACAAAATTTACCAAAACGATGATTTCTAAATGGTAGCAGTAAATCATGATGTCAGGTGTCGATAGTGCAACACAAGCGGACCCTTCTGCTTCTGATGCTGCCAGATTGTTCGCTGGATGAAATGCACCGACAATTCTGGCCCCACTGTAGCGCCCATGCACGCCATCTCAAATTGTACTTCGTCCGGTACCTTCAGACGTTTCTGGATTAACTTGCGCAGCTCAAACATCTGAATAAAAGACAAATAGGCAGAGATTACGTCACAAGTTCATGACCTCAATGCTGTTTGACGCACCTTGAAGTTGCCGCTCACCTGCATAAATGGGAATTTAAGCTCCGGCAATGCATTGGCATTTCTATCCAGCACGATCTCAACTCAGCCGAATTACTCTTCCAGATAGTATTCATACAAGTATCGCAATGTAGTGATACGTACGTGTGCTGCGGATAAACTTCAATCGTGAACTGTTTAGTACACGAAACGTTGCTTCCGTTGGTGCTCGTCTTAGCGTCATGTGGCTTTACTGAGTTCTTTGACCGTCCACGAGAGGATGAAGTCCCCGGTGCAGATGATGAACCGTTGGCTCCATCCTTGTGGTCTGAGTCAGGTTTGAGCTTGAAAGTATTCGTGGTGTAGAACTCTTTTTCCAGTACTAACTCGTGCTCTTTAAACTCAGGAAAAATGCGGTCCACTACGGCCTGTAGTTTTTGATCCGTGCTAAGATCGACACAAATTAGAAAATAAATACCACAACTTTCTTGCCGAACTTACATCAACGTTGCAATTGGTCGAGGGCTCAGCACCTTGTTGCATTTGGGACAGATGCAGCTGCCCTTCACGAGGAAATGTCGATAGATGCAGCTCTTACAGACTAAAAGATGCACAAATGATCATCAGTGTTGTGCAACCACGGCAGTCCGTGATTAGAATAGCAACATACATGAATGAAGACAGTCGGGGATGGTGTGTGCGTCTCGCAGAATTCCGTGGCACAGCACGCAGCCCAAATGCTCTGTCAGCTCCGCTAACTTTACTGTCATCTACAAGGCAGCATATACACAATATTGGTCAGCTCTGAACGCAGACCTGCAAGCGTACACAGTGCCAACTGCGTACCGTGCGCGCGTCCAATGCCATCGCTCCTCGCGCCAAATTGCTTATCTGAGACTGGAAACTCGAAGTTTGAGTCCATCAGATTTTTGGTCTGAATTAGTATCAATTTATAGTCACAACCAAAATTGATGTGATGCACTGTGGACAAAAAAATGTAGCGATTGCAAAATATGATTTAGTCCACTCGAATCAAAATTTTGGTCGCACGCCTGCAGGCAGCGATGATTAAGGGGTTGTTCTACAGCGAGTTCGACAACGTAGCAGGGCCTGTGATCCTCTTCCAGGCGCCGGAAAAGTGTGTTGTGTGTCTCTGTATCCTAAACTTATTTTTTCAGTGCTGCTAACGTCTTTTAACCTGGTGGTAGTGTGCTGAGCAACGAAGTGTTCGACAGTGTGTCGGGCTATATTATCATTGACAAGGCTCTCTGTGGAAAGATCATCACTGGTGGGCGGGATATTAGATGCTTTCCTAAGTATCGTTATCATACTAATGCAATTATACCGGTATAATGGTAGTTCGAGCGCAGCAGATGAAGATCGTCGGGTACCCAGTATGCATTGAAGACGACAAGTATCACCGTAACGCGCTGCTATTCAACATCGGTATGCCCGGGCATTGACATCAATTCGATATATTATACTGTGTGATTAAAGATATTTGATGTATAAATGCAGGCTTTGTGTTCGACGAGCTCGTAGAGACGGCACCATACCGACCAATTCTTCGGAAGGTTGGGAAAAAAAACTTGGTTTTTGTGGTACACCAGCTGATAACCTTTACTCTATGTGTCATATACTGCAGTTGGGAGCCTTAGTGGAGGGAATGGAGAAGGAGAGCGGATTCCTGTACAACGCAGACAAGAAGGAGCTCCTGGGCACCATCCTACCTCAGATTTTAAGAGACTTAACACTCCACGGCGAGTGCACGATCCCAGTGGACACTGCGAATGTTGTCAACTTGAAACTCTTCCCCACTTTACAAGACCCAGCCTCAGTGTTTGAGTACCAAGTGCCAGTAGCAATCCGAGATCTCCGTGCTCTTCTCGAAAATAGTGGTGCGTTTATATCCTCTTTTTGGCGGATCCCGTCCAAGAAACTCACGTGGCTTTTGGTACAACAGCAGAATGGGACTTGGCACTGCAACAGATTGTGCCGTTCATCGATGGCGTCCGATACGTGAAGCGCATCAGTCTGGAAGCTGACGTGGAGATTGCAATCGTCAAGAAGTGTGTCCGTCAGCTTCTGTACTACGGCTGTGTCACCTTGATCGATATCTTCCTGCATTCCAACATCTACGCCAACACTCCGAAGATCGCCGTGCTTGCCAATGACCCCAAACTCCAAGCTGAGTGTGCGGTATACATCTCGAAATCCGGTCATGCTCCTCCATCATTCGCTCGGATCTTCGCCTTGTATTGCTCGGTCCAACCCAGTCTGCGGATGAGCGACTTCTGTGTCGTGTACTCGGACTCGCTCGCACTCATCGATGTCCGTCGATTTGTCACGTTTGGACTCATCCATGGATTCTTACGACGTGTGCATCGCTATCCTATCTGCATCGACCGCAACGTACCAGGCTCCAGTCCACCACAACAGCAACAAACTCAGCAACCCCAACAACAGTCGCAACAACAAGCAGGGCAACAAAAGGGTCGTCCGTATACATTGTCCACGAACTCGCCGTCATTATCTGCGATGAACCCCATCAGCGCTGCTCCAACCTCGACACAGCCAGCGAATGGCGTGAACGGGAATGGAGCTAATGTCTCTAACGGAACTGGAGGCAACGTGACAGCTCTAACGTCATCTAAACGAGCACTAGTAAGCAAGGCAAATCAACTGGAGAAAGATGTGCTTCGTATGATGGACGGCGGTCACCACACGGACGAAATCTGCAGCAAATTCTTGTTGCGATACACCGACGTCGAGTCCACGATCCAGATGACACCCAACTGCTTTGCAGTGCACAAGTGAGAGAGCTACGAGGACTGCAACATAAAAAAAAACTTTGACATCATATTTAAATTTTCCCCACAAACAGATACGAGTCTGGTGTACTATTTTACTCCATCCAGAAGCCTGAGATCTCCATGTTCATCACAAGCGTCAGGTAGTTGACCATCTCTTCCTTGTTGTGATAAAGAGGCAAGTCGATTCGGTTGAAACATGTGTGGCCCTTAGGCATGAGGCCCGTAGGAGGGGCACCACGTTGTACGAACTGGATAGTAAATCGTCGGACACGGCCGTCACTACTCGTAAGTGCCTTGAAGCCCTGTACCGGTACACGAGATGTACCGGTGGCGAATTGTAGCAAACGAGCTCGTTCTTCGCTCGTAAACTCGCGCATACACTCCCAGAACCATCGAAGTACACGGTGTTCAGCTGGAGTGGGTTTCTCGAGCTTGACCCAGCGTACTTCACTGTGTGTATGCCAGTCGTTCACGTCGAGTTCGGGTACACCAGACAAGAGCAGATCGAACTCCTGGTAATCGAAGACAGTGATCAAAAACTGCGGCATGACGTCGTAGAAGCCCATGAGGAGAGCACCAAGTTGCTCCGAAATACTCTCAAACATGTAATGTTTAAGTAGCAATTCCAGATATTCCTGCTTGTTCTCATCCGTCACGTCACGGTCTGCTCCACCAGGTACAAGCTCGACCGTGTGAGACTTGCCCTCGGAAGTAATAACCTGTACCGTAAAGTCGATCGCAAGCAACTCCGCGTGGTCGTTCTGCTTCATCCACATGGCATTCTTGTACAGATCTTCGTCCAGGAATTCCAAGTCCGAGAACGAGATGGGTACACCCAGAATATGTTTAATCAGTGGTAACGCAAGCGACATCTTCATGTTGTAGCCTTCAATCAGCGCCTTCGCCAGTAATCGACCGATGAACTCGTAGTATTCCAAGTGGTTAGGCACTTTAGAAGCCGACGCAGGGTTGATCCAATAGCCCATGTTCTCTCCTTTCGTCGCGATGAAGAGACCAAAGTCGTCGTTAAAAAGTGAGTCACTCAGAATCTCGTACCACTCACGAATTAGCCCTCCAGCATCCAATCCCGGCTCGTTCTCAAAGTAAATACGAAGGCGTTCCCAGAATCGACTGGGCGGACATTTGAGCATTTGCTCCAACGAATCACTGACCACATGTTCACGTCTTACGACGAATTGGATGTGGCCTTCTTCGTAGCTTCGCCAGCGCTTCTGAACCTGCTCCAGGAACCAGCGGTTCTTATCGTGGAATGTCAGCGACGCAATCTCCTCCAGGTCGTCTTCGCAGTCCATACGACGAGTGGTATCCGTATACGCTATAATCGTCCCAGCAGGAGTCCACTCGTAGCCTCCTTCGCCGTCTTCATGTCGTACATAACCGGTAGATACATTCGAGATACCTGTGTCGTTAAAGTCATGGAAACGCCGGTCCTCCACAGCGCTTGGTCCTCCAATATCTGGGATTGGTCCTCCACCTATTGTGCCTTCCCGGTCTTCACTAATCTGGTTTAAACCTCGAGAACTTGCAAGTCCACGAGTACTTGCGAACGGGTTGGTTGTACTACCCGAAAACGGTTTTTTACTGCTCGCATTCGGGTTGAACGGGTTTGCACCACTATTAGCAGGATTGAACGGGTTCTGTTGCGAATAGAAAGCCATGGTGGGGCGCTCTTCTGCTTCTTCTAGACGTTGCAACGCCGTCGCACGTAGAGGCTGGAAAGACGGACGTCCCAGGTCGTTATTGGCTGATAGAAACGAGCTGTCCGGGTGCCGACCTTCACTCTCAGGGACCCCAAAGTCCCTTAACGCAAGTGCAATGTGCTCGTTGTCTTCCCTCAATGAGGACGACGACGAGACGCGACTTGTGTTGGATGTCCGTGGGAACTCGTCTCCTCCTAAGATGGCTGTGCCATTGGGAGGCGTACTGAGTCCACTATACATTGTTTCGCTCCTGGTTTCCTTATTCAGGGCCTCGTGTTCTTCCTGCTTTGCGTCGATACGTACCCACCGCATGACGCCATCTTTGCCTCGCTTCCTCTTCCAGAGATGCCGACGCACGGCCGCTTTCTGTCTGGATGTGAGGTCCATTTGCTTGAGTCTTCGCACGTGGAAGCTGCGTACACGTGACTGTTGATTGAGCATACTTTGGCTAAAGTCCTGCTTGTGTAGACCCGACGCTCGAGCAAGATTCGACGGTGTCGTGGCTGTGACGATGCGTGGCGTGCCGCACATGACACAGCTCGTCTTGTCCGGGTGGTTGTCGTGGAAACAGATAGAGCAGGGCCACTCCTCTTCTCCGCGCTGTAGGAAACTGTCCACGAGGTGATGCCGCATCATGTTGTTGTTCTGGTTATCTCTTGCTAGGAACCGCTCGATCTTGCGTGCGTAGCTCCAGTAGTAATAGATGGAGCCGAAGAGTACCAGCAACGCCAAGACCAGGAACACATACACCAGCACCGCCATACCAGGGCTCAGCTCCTGCCCGAAGATGGCCGTCATCCTGCTACCGATTCGACTGTCGGTAAAGTGTCCCCCTTGTACCAATTTGCCGAATGGGGAAGACAGGCGACCTTTTTTCTATGATGGAAAAGAGAGGCGCGTCTGGACTGACTCTTGGTATTTTGACCAATAATAAGGAGTTAAAAGAGAAGTTTCAGCCACTGATCAGTGCGGAAAGCTATCCGGAGGGCTAGGACTTCATATCTCTGTCGAGCAGTCACTTCGTTCAAATTATTGGGCATCATGCAATACGAGAACCCAATGCACAGGGTCGTTACCCGACCGCGTACATGTACAGCGTTGTCTGAACAGCGTCCATCCAAAAGACTTGCTACATGTACAGGTTGGAGTCCAGCAGAAGACCACGATCAGTGTTCGTCTTACGCAAGGAGCACGGTAGGAAGAAGCGTGACCAGGGCTGTCCGGACAGTCCGGGACGATGGGAACGACGTCATGCTTTTGGTTGGAGCAGATTTCGCCACCGTACCCATCCAGTCGTATTACGGGAAGACCTGGATACAATAAATTTAACACAAATCAACTCCGCCACAAACGCACTTGGACTGCACAGTGCAATGGCACCCAATACTGTACATGTAGTTCAACAAAAATGCAGCAACTTCATAACTGAGAGAAGCAAAGCCGCCGTCTTTTCTGAAATACTCAAATCGGCGGCCAACAGTCACGAAATAAGGGATCTGCTGGATGATACGCTACGCTATTAATAATACTTGTACTGGACAGTGGCAGTTCAGATACTATTATTACAATATCCTCACGGCTGTAGTAATACAGTGTACAAGAAGACCCGAAGAAGTGTGGCGCAGCGACAGAGTGATTATTGCAATTCCATCCTCGCGCAAAGACACAAAGCTCCGCCTTGTTTGCGGTGCGATGTCATGCCCGGTTTATGTAAAAAACTGCTTTCGCGTTCAATCGGTTTGCCACACCAATTACACCTCATTGCTACATTCTTTACACAACAAGCTTGCACCATGAGCAGCATCGTCGGACGCCTGCAGGCTCGCGTGCAGCGCTGGCACCTGCTAGGACGCTACTACGTCAATAAGTGGCACTACGATGGGTCCAAGTGGGTGGATCGCGTGTGGTACGGCCAAGGAAGTACGGGAAACGGACCTCAAGTGGCCTCTGTAGCCTTTATGATCACGCGCAGCATGAGGCAGCAGCTTCTGGACGCTGGTTTTCCTCCTTCTGCCATCTCGACGCTGCAACCAGCGGCAGCACAAAAGATCATCACAGAAAAGATCACATTTGTGCAGTTTGAGGAATTGCAGAAGCAGCAACAGGTGGAGCAGGCAGCCGAGACAGCAAAGCAAGCTTTGAAGCAGGAGGAGCAGAGCGCACTGGTGGCGACGACGGAAGCAGAGCAGGAACATGAGCAGACCACACTGACAGCGGCGCTTGTTGTGCAGCAAGAGAAAATAGAGAAAGAAGAAGGGAAATTGTAGTAAATGTGGTTGAACCATTGCAAACACAATGTCTATCAGCTTGGCTTTTGAATGGACCAGCCGAAAGCATGTCAGCTACAGTATTACAGTACATCACTAGGCCAACCGCTTTCTTAGCTGCGTAGCCCAGCAGCATTCTATCTGAGCTCCCTTGGCGCCTGGTCGAATGCGAGCGCACAGTGTTGAACACAGGGAATGGTATCAGCAACGCTTCCACTTCGGTGGCATCATATCCTCGATCTATTATACTACGCAGTATGTCCTCGATGCGTCACTCGTTTCACCACTTGATCGCCGTCTTGATTTTGGCCAGCATCTCGTCGATCGGGGTCAGTGCCACGACCATCGCTAGCTGAACGCCCCACCACAGAACGCAAAAGATGGACCCGTACAGGACGCGAGACCCAGTCCTCTCGGTGAAATAAATCCACAGTGCCGATCCGATCACGTAGATCAGCGTTAGCAGCCAATAGCCGCGGTAGAAGTCGCGGCGTAGATCACCGTAATGCGAGTTCTTGCGCCACTTGGAGCGGTGCATTGACGCCAGCATACCATGCTCCAGTGCCTGCGTCGTCAAGGCCGAGACCAACACGATGGCACTTAAGGTCGTGAGGGACGCAGCAGCTGGAGCGAGGTGCAGCGCTAACGCCAGCGCCTGTTCGGCGAGCCATGAGACCAACTGCAGGGCTGACACCAACAGTGCCATCTTGGATCAACTTATTCAAAATGTTCGTAAATACGGTCGGTTTATTTGAGAATAATATCCTTACCGTATTTTCAGAAAATACAGCTACATGTACCGGTACAGTAGCTGGGTTATATTTTAAAATTTAATTTTTACTGCTAAACTAGTTTTTAAACTTGCAATATTGTGCGGTCTCCCGCGCGGTTCTTTGTTTGAACACTAGCGCAAATCTGTTTTTGAATTCCTAGTGCAAAAAAAGGAAACAGCCCATCAAGAGGACGTACTGTTTACTTCAATAAAAACACAAAAACTATACTATCGGCACCGCTAAAGCACGGCTAGCACAGTAATATCACGAGCATCATCAATTTTTAAAGACTGACCACCGCAATAGTACGTCCTGCACCAACCGTAATTCAATCGCTAATTTTGCCCAATCCGCAGCCTGATCGTCACAGAAATATCGTCCAACGAGCGCAGTTCCCCGGCGAGGGGGGTCCAAGGTAAGATCATTTTCCAACCAGCCGCATCAAGCTCATTCTTCCAGCTCCTTCCTTTTGAAATGACCATTCGACACCCCTGGCATGTTCTCGCCTCAGCAATGCCATGCGTCCAGGCAGGGAACCTTCTGGGTAATTTCAAGCAGACTAGGGTGCCGAAGAGTGAGCTGGCCCTGTGCTCCGTATGCATGCCCCCTGCCCCACATCCCATGAGAATTCAGCGCCTGTTTTGCGCGTGCAAGGCTTGCGCTGACGTAACGGCGGCACAAGAGTGTCCGTGGCGAGCCCGGGTCACGTCCTGTCAAGAGCAAGGCTTAGTGACGGTCGAGGAGGCATATACGCCACTCCAGCACGCTCGCCACGCAAGCTGGTGCTGACCCCACCAATGAAGGAGGTGGTGAAAGACTGGGCAGCCCAAGGACTGAAGCCCAAGCGCATCTATAATGCACTTCTTCAGCGTTTCAGCCTGACCGAGGCGACTGAGTCCTTTCTATCAACTGTGCGGCGTTTTGCGCATCACCAGGTTACGGGACGGCTTGGGGGAAGTGGCCTCCTGGACTTCGTACGCAGGAAAATCAAGGACTCAGGGTTTACGGGACACGAAGATGAAGCAGCTCCGTTCACATTCACGAGCCGCATTGATAGAGACGGCAAGTCAATCACTGGCAACGGCAGTGACGCTGATCCGTTTGTGGTCGTGTTAGCTCGAAGAAACAACTACGCCGTGCCGACCGTGATCCTGAATCTTTCATCTTTCACTTGGACGCGACCTACAAGCTCACGCAAGTCGGGTATCCAGTTATCGTTGTCGGGATCTCGGACATGGCAAGACGATTTCATTTGTTGGTAAAATTTATTGTCTCGCAACAGCAGCAGCTACACTACACCGAGGTGCTTGCGCTCGTGTGTAAGATGTTCCAAACCATTGTTGGTAAATTTCTCCGGGTACGCTTTGTGATGGGAGATGCTGACGCAGCCCAATGGAACGCGGTGAACGACGTGCTTGGGCAAGGGGGGATTTGTATTTCTGATGTGCTAGCGACAACGAACAATCCATGCGAGACGTACAATGCAGTGATTAAGAGAGATGTCACGCTCCGCAGAAAGCTGAAGGTCGGCGCCCTACTGATCCAGCTACTTACTCTTTGTCGAAGTGAAGCTGTCACCGCGAGTCCATTTGCCGTGTCCCCGGAGCCAGATTCTCGGTTGGTTCGTCGAGCTCGCGCGATGTCGCGGGCAGGCTTGCTTGAGCTACACCACTAGTCTCGGAACAGTATCGCATTTTTGCTAGCTACCATGGCTGAGGCCGAGCCTTTGGATACAGTCCGTGTAATTAGCAAGCCATGCCCGCGTGTACAAGACGAGATTCGCCGACGCAACGTTGAGGAATTACCCGTTACAGCCCGGCTGAGCAAATTGAATGCTGCAATGGAAACGCTTGGTATGCCTTTGAAGGGGTGGCTGATTGACATGAGCTCAGGTAAGTGCCCTTGTCCCTTTTCGACAAAGCACGGCTATTGTGTGCACATACTCTACGCGATGAAATGCTGTGGAACTAAGGATCTAAATGGACGTCAGACACTTGACAATCGAGGAATATCCGGTCGCGAAAAGGGACAGAGCTCCCGCGGGCGCCCACGCAAAAATGGTTCGGCACTAGAGATGGAGTAGGATCTACATTGAAGGGGATTTAAAGTGTCTAACGTCTTTGCTTCATAAATCTCGATGGTGCTTAAGTCAGTTTACGTATGTTTATATCATGTCATATATACATTCACTTAATTTCCCCCATTATTGTGTTCGTTAAAAAATTGTTTTTTGTTGTTGCTCTCAAATGCCATGTCTTGCAGAAATTCCGGGGTGCTACCAGCTCACGGAATTTAGCCATTGCAGCGATACGAGCTCCTGTGGTCTCTCAATAATGACCGGGTAGTCGCTGCATTGCGCGCGTAATTCGGCGCAGCTGGCGTAGGGAGTTGGGACAGGAAGTGGGCGCTCTCACGATCGAAGTATAGCTGTCGCGCCTTCTCGTCCTTACACTTTTTCATTTTCCATTCTCTTTTCTCCATGGCGCAATACGCTGACAACGTCGACTCCCATGCTTTCAGTGAGCCACGCCGAGCGCCCGAGGCAATGCGAGTAGCGTAGCGAAAAGATGCCAATCTGTCCTTAGCGCTGATAGCCACGTTGCCAGAAATGCCCCCCACCTTAGGTGATCCGGTGTACCGGGGATAAATCCAAGTAGAACAGAGTGATAAACTAGCATGTTCAAATAAACCACATCACCTGGGCGCTGCACTAGTACGCACGATTTGGTTGTGTCGATCATGCGATTGAAAGTGTCATTTCCGTTTTCAAAACTAAACAATTCTGCAGACTTAGGCGTTCTGAAGAACACCCAAATCTTGAAGGTGTGGGTAAGGCTTGGAGGGATATACGACACTACACGACCATGGTCTGCGTGAATCGGCGAGATTCGATTCCCGCTTTGAAGCCATGACTCCACAGGGTACACGTAGGCCTCATCGGCAGGAAATACCAGTATAGAGTAGTATCCAGGAAGATTGACTATGAGTTGATCGCGAGGGGTTGGAATCTTCTTTTCTCATAGGCGCTCAACACGACGCTGAAGAAAGGCACGCATATCCTTCACACGCAGTAAGTCATTAAAGTGGGTTGGCGCTTCGGGAAGTCGTTCTTGTTTGCGAAAGCGTGCCACCATAACAGGCTCCTAAAAAAACTAACGCAGGAGCCTCGCCGCTATCCGCATCGCTCCATGAAAACCCACCGTCAACGTAGCGGTCAGCGGAAGCAGGAAGCTTGGCTACAATGCGCGGAATCATAGCTCTGCTGTTTCCATAATCTCCACATTTCGCAAGATCGCACAACTCGTTGATAAAATCCACCATTTTTATTACCAGAACACCGCACACGATCGTAGCCTAGAAGAGCGTGGACTAGGAATTAAACAATCGCTACCTTCGGGCGTGTCGATGCTCGCTCTGCGGTCTCGTACGTCCTCTTGAGGCCTTCTGGAACCGCGCGAGTAGCTGGCGCTTGAACGGTCTTGTTGTGAGAGTACAATTTGGGACAGAGCATAATGCAGTCGTCTACACAGCACATTATAGATTATTTTGTCTCATACGGTAGGTCTATGTGTGTGGCTAAAAAGCAGCGGGGGTCGATGGGAAGAAAACGGTTCATGTTTTGCACCGGTGCTCCTGCTGATTATGAGGTGCTGAATATAAAAATGCTGGTGTTTCTGGTATTTCCTCCCCCATCAAGCAAACGTCGTTCCACCCGGGAACTTGCGTCGGGCCCTCAAAAAGAGTTTTGCCGTCACTGCTGCTGCTGTAAACTACTGTTCTTCTGCCTTGCCATGCCCAACGCACAGCCATGGACGCAGGAAGAGGACGTGTATTTAGGTCGCGCGTACACAAACACTTCCGAAGACGGGCGGGATAACGGGAACGGACCAGCCAGGTTAGCACTCCGACCAGGACGTGATCTACCATGACACTTCCTTCGTGATCGTCTGTGGCGCAGGTAGTGCCTTGCGCTGACGTAAGAAGACGAAGATGTCGTCGTGACCGAGATCATCTTGGGGCGTGAATTGATAAACTTGTTAGTAGTGGTCATTTGGCACTAGACATACTCCGCTGGGGATAGCCCGTAAAATGGTACGTAGGGACATATAAATGTCGTTTATTTGAAATGAGCAAACGGCATTACAACTATCACTTTGCACTATCCATCTTGCATTTTGCACTACCGTTGGAGATGCTCTTAGTTTGAGGTCAATTAAATACGATCTGCGACCGCCCTGCCGGGTTGTAGTGCCTCGCAAGCGAGAGATTGGCGGCAGTCGAGGGTGGTAATCGCGATCTAGTGTACCTGCGCTGCTGAACAATGCGTCAGGGGTGGTAGCGGCGGCCTTGGACTTCAGGAGAACTAGCGCACCATGCGCCAATCTGAGTGCGGTGTGTGCAGCCTGCTGTGCGCTTTCGAAAGTAGCATGTTCAGCATAATCAATAACCTAGTATGTGTGTTCCCGTGGTAAAAATATTCTCATTGGCGATAGACCAAACCTTGGTTTGGCTATTTTCGTAATGGGTCGGTAAACATCACAAATGATACTGATTTCAGGTCTAATTTTGGTGACAGGAGTCAATTTTATGATCTTCTATTGCATGTCGTTCCCACAGCACAATTTCATTGGTTAATGACCAGAGATATACATAAATCAGCGGGGATTCTGGGCTTTATAAAAATGTCTAAAGTTTTCTTTGCTGTGCACCGGATTGCAAGCTAAGCCAATATATAATTTAGTTACCACTACCCACGCTGGGTCTGTTATTCCCAATCTTCACCGAGCTAGAGCCGCCAACGCCGCTCCAATTCTTGAGGGAATGACACAATGCAAATAGATGATGATTCATAGTTAAGTCTATACATCTCTTTCTTCTCTGTCCCTTACTCATTAAATCGTTTGCCAGGCCTAGCTTCTTGTATTTTCTCCCC